GGGGGGGGGGGGGGGCAGACATCCTGTCCTTTTGTAAATCCAAGTTATATTTGGAATACTACTGTAGTACTTACTGCATAGTATACAGTACACTGAATGCTGCCTATTTTTGTCTTCTTGTATGTAGAAAATGTATGAATAATCAACACTTCAAACTATACACGGTTATCACATGACCTAATTCAGCAAGCATGCAGGTTAGCAGCTCAAACATACAGTACAGTAAATGTTAATTTAGCATTTTTAAAGGAGTAGTTCACCCAGAAAATTTTCTTACCCACATGCCATTCAAGATGTAGATGAGTTTGTTTGTTTTTTCATCAAAAAAGATTCAGAGAGATTTAGCATTACATTATTGCTCACCAATGGATCCTCTGCAGCGAATGGGTCCAAACAGCTGCTAAAAACATCACAATAATCCACAAGTAATTCACATGGCTCCAGTCCATCAATTAATGTCTTGTGAAGTGAAAAGCTGTGTTGTTTGTGAGAAACACATTTTTGTTAAAGCTTTTTAACTTTAAACCGTGACTTCTGGCCAAATTCCATAATTCATAATATAATGAATTGAGGACTCGTATTTTAGTCAGAAGCAACAGTTTGAAATTAAACCGCCTTAATGGTTTATTATGCTTGACACAATGTTAATTGATGGACTGGAGTCGTTTTGATTAATTATGGATTATTGTGATGTTTTTAGCATCTGTTTGAACTTTCATTCTGACTGCACCCATTCGCTGCAGAGGATCCATTGGTGAGCAAGTGATGTAATGCAGAATTTCTTATGTTTCATTTGCCGCACTGGGACTGGAAGTTTAAGTAAGTGCATTGCAATATGGGATACAATATTCTGTGCAGTGTATTGTCACTGCACCTTGTGTATTGTCACTGCACCTTTTGATGTTTAATTATGCATACAGAATATTTGCATATAATACACAAAATACGTGCTGCATACAAAATCTATACTAAAAATATGATGTTAGTGTGCTGTTGAGAACATGGCTCACATATGCATGCATGCTTTAAACTGTATGGGCTCAGGACAGTTTGGGTATGTTTAGACTGGCATGCTGCCAACTTCTATTTTTGCACCACATATCACAGTATGCAAATTTTCTGGATGCATGGAATGCCTACTGTGACCTACTAAATTCACCAAAATGTGTAGCATACAACCTAAGCATGCTGCAAATGCAATGCACTTGACATAACCATCCTTTTCTAATGTGAGGAATGAACTGGAAGGGATGTCAAAAATAAATACAATCCACTTTTATCATTGTTTTCACCTTATTTGATTGAACTGAATTTTTTGTTTAACGCATAATTAAATGAAACGGGAAATAATTGTTTATTTCCAAGACGGATGTCATTTGACAACAATGAAGCATACTACTGTTTGAAGTATTTACTGTTGAATACTGGGTGGAGTGTTTCACATAATTTTTTTGTGAGTATGCCGTACACCGTACATACTGTATAGTATGTAGTATGCAAGTATTCCAACCAACTCTGACTTGATTCTTGTGTGTCTTATCAGTGTTTTGTGTGTATTATGTGAGGTATCATTGATTGGTTTCCAGGGACCATAATTTGGTGATCATTATACAAAAATATTTGATCACAGAAGAATGCTGCTATTGACTGATCAAGAATGAAGTATTCCAGAGAGCAGTGTAATAAAGTGCACTGCTGTGTGCTGCTGGCTCGTGAACTCAGAGGTTTGTTGTTTCTGTCCACCGTCAGGTGATTCAGGGGTTAATTTGGTCTCCAGCTCAGTTTAAGCACTGCTTCACGGTCACAGCTGGGGTCCTAAAACCTTCCTCCCCTCCTCCTCCTCCAGGTCATGACTGGACACAGAGAGGTGACTGAGATGGAGGCCTCACTAGTGAACTGTGTAAATGTCTTTCACGTACATATAGCTCCGACCATTGATATTTGGTTATGCCATATTCATCCTGATATTTATATTGATGCATACAGTAGTATTATACAACTTTATTACCACAAATTGAGATGGAGTTTAATGTTATTTTGAGCCCTTCAATATAAAAATCCTTATTTTAGTTATTTTGACACAGTTTGAAAGCCACATTTCCTGAATGAAGTATGTAATGGCACATTATTGTGGGTGAAAGAAATACAAACAAAATACAGTGAGGTCCAAACATCTGAGACCATTAGTGAAAATGCTTCTATTGTACATTTTTCCAAATGAATACACATTTTGAGACAATGACATATGTGTCAGCATACCAATTTTAGTGAAAAGTTTTAACTAGACCTAGAAATTAGATTTTTACATAAAATCATTTAATTTACTAAAATTGTTTTAGATTTTCAATATGACTTTTTAAACAACTCTTAACACTAGTTTAGTTTAGTTTAGATCACGCAAGTATGTGCATGTGTATTATGTGATGAAATAAGCAGGTGTTTGTTTACCGCTGTGGACAAAGACAGGTGTCGACAGCTGTCAGTCAGGTTGACGGGCTGGCCTGCAGACACATCAAAAACTTTGAGGTCATCAGGCCAAAAGCTCTACCCAAACAACTTTACCAGAACCATACAGAGAGACATTACTGATAAAACACACACTCATCTTAATGCCAGGAACACTGGAGGCATCAGTGAGCCTTCCAGTGCGTTCCATTACTGGCACATGAAACAACTCTGATAGAGTGTGTGTGTATATGCATGTGTGTAAAGGATTTTATGATCATAGATTTACACATGGTGACAGAGTATGTAGTCAGTACAGATTGTAATAGAGATGCTTATTTAACTATGGCTTGTTTGGTATGCAGCACTTATAAACTGTAGTTTAGGTTTTGGCCTGGAATACCGCTGGGAACCATGGGAAAACAGTCAAGCAGAAACATTAAAATGCATTGAACTGATTAGAAATGATGAGCTGTTAACAGAATGTAGAATGAGCTGAAATGATCATGATTGTATCACGAGAGACACGAAAGCTGATTTCCCATGTTTCCCTTTGGCTATAAACAGTACTTCCTGTTGTTTGGGCTGGGACGGCACTCAGGCACAAATGTTTGGACTTTATGCCAAATACACACCAGCCCATTTCCTGGAGCGATGCTGAGCACCACAATAACTATCAGATGTGCTTTTCCCAGTTTCTCTCTCTCTCAAAGAATTTGAAGTTTTATTAATTCAATTGTTCAAATTTCTGTAAGCATTAAACATTACACATGCACATACAACTTGATTTAAGAGCGTGTTCCTGAATCAACATCCTTTTGGTCTTAGATTGGATTAGTTAGTTGGAATTTGATTATTTTTATTAAAACGTATAAAAAAATGTAAAATGTATTTATTTAATATTTCTGGTTGGTTAATCAAGGCAGTATAAATTACATTTGACAGCTGTCATGTACTGAAGCATGTGCCTTAATACATATCCTTTTTGAAGTGAGCTGATCATATTGTGACTTCTAGATGGCTAATAGGGCCTCCGAACCTCTGGTCTGGAATTTGGTGAATTAAAACGACACTCATAAATCATATGTGTTTGTATGCAGTGAGGTTGTGTAGGGGGCTATGTGTCTTTGATGTCTTGTCAAAGCCATGAATGCCCCTCCTTTAATTCAAAGCTGCATAAAAGAAATTAAAACGTTAAAAGAATGTCAAGTATAGATGAAGGTTAGCAAAAGGAAAATTGGCTGTGCCTCAGATTCGTCCTGACTGCATGTAGTGTTGCCACAGCATTTTGTAATCCACGTTTGTCCTCATTTTTAGGTCTGTAAAAGGACTTCCCAACTATTGGCCTTCTTTATTATAAGAGCTAAGATTTTTTTCAAGTCTAAAGCTTTCTTCTTTATTTTCATGTTGTGAAAAGACAGACAGCCTTACTTAAGGTTTTGTGTTACTTTTTGCAGTGTTTATTTAGCTATACTTCAGGGATTATTGTCCCCAGAAGTGAGCTAAATATGACACAACCTCCATTTGGGGACATTCAGGGATGCCCTAATTTGGAAAAACTATGTATCAGTAAAGTTATGGTATTTCAACATTTCTAACAGAAATGTCTTACACTTAAAAACAAAAATAAATTAATAAAAATAATAGAAAATAAAATTAAAATTTTAAATTACATGTTAATAATAATTATTATTGTTGTTGTTGTTGTTATATTATATGTGGACAGAGATGTCTTCATTTTAAGAAAAAAAAAAAGAAGTTGAAACAAATGTCCTTAACTTATGTAAGATATTCTTGATTGATTGATTTGTTTGTTTGTTTACTACTACTACTACTAATTATTTTTATTTTGTTTTATTTTGTTTTATTTTATTTTTAGTTATTTTTAGTTATTTATTGTAAATAATAGCCAGTAGGTTGCTACCTATTTAGACAGCACATAATTTAATTTCATGGGGCCTTTAAAGGGGTCATATGATGCGATTTCAATTTTTCCTTTCTCTTTGGAGTGTTACAAGCTCTTGGTGCATAAAG